ATCGGGGCGGCTCACAATATTAAAATACAAGATACAATCAATCCCCATTCCTACCTCCCCTTAAAAAAGCATTAAATCAAATAAGATTAAAATATACAAATTGAGTTTAAAATTTATAAACAATGTTGTCATCATGTTGTGACCTGGATGAGAATGAATATTACCACACAGCATGGCCTCTTTCCGAGCGCAAGCTGTTCGTGTCCCCCCCCCCCCCCGCCCCATATCTCTGTGCATGTGTACTTTTTTAAGAGGTGCTGGTGCGAACTACAACAGGAAGGCATTTTTAGTTTCCCATAGCCTTGTGCTCTGTGCTTTGCAGTACTACTATTTGCCCGTTCTCATTATGGATTCCCTGATTTGTGTCAGTCTTCTCCACACAATTGAATGTTTAGTGGTGATGGAGAAGGAACGTAGAAGAAGAATGACAGTTCCTCTCTCATTTTTTAGTTAGAAATTTTGAGAGGAGGAATGCCCTTGGCAATGTGCTTGATAGTGAAGATGACATGTTATCTGGCTGTCTGGCATGGGTAGCAACTTTCCCTGTACCACAGGGATGGTGAGTTCGCCCCATTCAAAGAAAGAATTAGTGGCGTGATGAGGTTTTGAGCATATGGGAAGATGTTATGTGGGAGTCAAACTTCCGCATGAAGCGCTCTATTTCTTTTCTTTTTTCTTTTTGACCTTGTAAGCACTCTTCAGGCTGAGTTGCAGTGATCTACTACATCTATAAGGACTCCCATGTCAGTAGATGAGAGGGCGGCAATTACCTTTTGGTGGTTGACAAGCCCACTTATATGCAGAAAAGTGGCATCCAGATTGGAGACTGGAGCATCTACTGTAGCAGAGATTGCTGTTGAGGTTTGCCTAGTGGTGGAGAAACTTCTGTTGAAAAAAACTGTACAGCTAGGCAACTATCATGTGGTAAATTATTAATTTATTTATATTACTTTCTATCTATATGTTCCCAAATCCAAACCAAGCATACAAGGGATGCATACCTGTATGTGGTTGTACACATACGTGTATTCATATATGTGTGTGATTAGATATATACAAATGTATACACATTTGTATCTATAAATGTACTGAAGGATATATATTAAAAGATATAGAGAGAATGATTGATTTTATGTGCTCTTATAGAGAAATCTGAATGCATTCATATGCACAATAATAATTTACACTATCTAGTTCTAACTATTGAAAAAATATTTGCACACATATGTGGATGTTTACATAAATAGGTATACAGTTTTCCTCCCCGTTCACAGACTTTGAGTCTGTGATCTTGCTCTTTGTGGGGAGGGACAAGTGGCTATGTTTAAAATGGCTGCACACGCCTGCATGCATCTCTGTATATGGACCATTAGTTTAAATAGGGCTCCAATATTAGTGAGCCGCCATTTTCGCGGGAGGGGGGTTGGAACAGATCCCCTGCAAATTGGGGCAACTATATATTTGTACTTAATTTCATAATAATATTTGTATAAAATGTGTATCACATATAGGGTATTAATTGTAGATAAACACATGAATATACATATATAGTACATGCCATGAAAATGCACACGCATGCACACACACGCACACACACGTATTTTGTGTATATGCATATGTGTGTGTGTTTATTGTTTATATATGTGCATTGATGTGTACAAATAATCTGTGCATGACATTAAGTGATAGTCTTTTGTGCATATACAAATATATCACATATACATTTAGTATATATATGTGTGTGTGTGTGTGTCTGTATGCCTGTATTGACATGTATTGACCTATTATTTTGTAAATACCTAAATAATAATAATAATAATAATAATAATAATAATAATAATAATAATAATAATAATTTTTATTTAATATCCCGCCCCTCTGGGATCAATCGGGGCGGCTTAGCCTCAGGTAGGAGAGTGTATTCATACATTACTATGGTTTCATACATGCCTACTTACATAGATATAAATAAATATGTTTCTGTGTGGTACATAAATGTTATTACAGTTGAACATATATCTTTTTTTCTGTCTATGACAAAGTGTGTTTCTATGTTTCCTTTATATATCTATGTATGCAGTTACAAACATATACTGTGTTGCATATTCATACATGTTTGCATATGTCTTTCTATGTGTGTTTTTTGAGTACTTCTGTGTATAGCTATATATTTATTCTTCCATCTCTCTTTCCATACATATGTGTATGTTTATACTCTCTCTCTTTCACACACACACACACACACACACACACACACACACACACACATTTTTAGAAGTACTGTACATTTATTGTGCCACTGATTTTCCAGTTTTTGAGCTAAATATAGTGAAATCTACCTATCTGAATAAATGATGTATATGTGCATTGGCGAAAGCAGGTGCACATGAAAAACACTCTTTTACACATACATAAATGCACACATAGACATATATATATATATATATATACACACACCTAAAACTATATTTATATGTGTATATCTATATATCTATATGTCTATATCTATATCAAATGTAGATAGATAGATACATATAGATATGTAGATATATATCTACATATATATAGTGGGAGAGAGAGAGAGGGAGAGAGAGAAAGAGACCTGTATCCATATACATATATATATATATATATATATATATACACACATGGACAAATGCTTGTACATTTATGTGTGTCTGATAGATATGCGCACACACACACAAACATACATATTACAATATGTATAGCTCCAGTCAAAAATGTTTCTCTTATTTTTGATGAGTTTGATAAGGTCGTATCATTCTCTATCTTTTTTTTCCAAATAATCCAGAATATACACTAGCGCCTCCACATTTGATTTGGGTTAGGAGCCCAAGACACCTGTGAATGTTGAAAACCAGCAAGTTAAAAAACAATCTGTTTTTACAGGAGACACCTACTCTTCATGAATGTCTAGGTCTTTTAGTGAAACCCTGTGCTTGACATCTGGCGGGCATCAATTTTATAATTACACTGAAGGCCCTACAGATTCATTTAGGTACATTTTTCAAAAGTACCAGGAATACTGAAATCCTCAAAAGGCAAAGATAAATTTGTTGAGGCACAACTGAGCCTTGACATTCTACATCTTCAAAATGTATAGATAAATTTTGCTCGCGTACACACATAGAAAAACATTGGGAATACACTTATGTACAAATGTCTTACAGTATATGTACATGTTTACAGGACTCTTGACAAATACACCAATATTTATATAGTGAGAAAGAGAGATAGGATGGTTCAAAGACAGAGAGATAAAGAGAGAGAGAGAGAGAGGAAGAGATATATGGAGAAAGAGAGAGAGAGGCAGATACATAAAGATGTATTGAAACACACCTGAAAGTGCATAAAAAGGGGTATGTAAATATGCATTGAAGCACTTCACATGAATTTAAATCGATGGTACCAATTACCAGAATAATAAGAAAGTCATAATAAATTTTCTTTGATGGAATGTCCTGAAGGCAAAATAATCCTTAATGTTTATTGACAGCATGCAGTATTGCCATTAGAGTTGAACTGAAATGTGATTCCCCATGTTTTCTTACTGAAGTGCTGCAAAAATGTTAACAGACAGTGTAATGCACACATTGTAAATTCTATCAGTGGAAGGCACACTTGAACGACATAATGGTCTGTATCTTTAGGAACCAGTGCTAGTGTAGGAATTATTATCACTGCACATAAAAATGTAAATCTTCTATTACATAATGATAGGTTTAACACAGCATA